CATAAATAAAAATCAGTCACTGATCTTTATTTTTTCAATCATACTTATAAGTCATTTGAATAAGTCGTAGTAAACTTTTGTTTTCCAACACCTTCTTAACTGCGAAAAATGTTAATGACTTTTATACGATTGATTTAAAAAATAAAAGTCGGTCACTGATTTATATTAATGACTTTTAAAAGTAAAAGTCACTGACTGATTTTTATTGATGACTTTTATAAATAAAACTCTTCAATAACTGTTATCTAAGCCATATAATATAAAAATCAGAAATAATTGTTATTTTGGATTTCTAATATAAAAATCAAATATAATTGTTATTTTTTTAAATTTTGCATAAAAATTGCAAATAAAAATTTATTTTCAAATTTGAGTCTCGGTGTAAAACGAAATCGATTGGTATGTTTCACTTAGTTGTAGAACATTTCCTTCATAGCGAATTTTTCCATGACAGTTTTCATCAATAACTGTTATGTTCGGTTCCTGGCTTGATGCAAACATTGGTTGGACTAGAAATAGCAGGCAATTACACAACTAACCATTAAAAAGTCGATTAGAAAGGACAAATAAGAACAGTATTAATGTTTCTAAAGCATATATAGCTAGTTGACTTCTATCATTATCTTTATTTCCAGGGGAAATTGGTCGTCAGTAGGAAATTTCCTTCAGGGTGATTCCAGTCTATGTTTGCCTCCTGGACTTTTGGCGCCGATGGGGTTTACTTAAAAAAAAAATATTTCAAAAATTAATTGAAAAATATCACAAATAAGTTTATGCTTCCATGATGCTTTCATTGACGGTATACGGCTACTTTTGCGCTGTGAAGTGCCGAGGCAGCGCATCTGCCATTTAGTTGCCTTCAATAACGCGGTGGTACACCATTCAGAACAGGGTAGCGTCTTGCCGATGAGCTCGGTCCACTCCCTGCATCTTTTTACAAGGCTCGAACCAACAATATCGAAGGGCTAACTCCGTTTAGCAGAAAATATGGCAGGATTGGTCTTCTGCAGATTGGAGACTAAAGTAATTTTATATGGCTCTTAATACGAATTATGACTAAAATCAGCACTTCCGTTCGTAGACAAAAAATTAAGCAGTAAGTTTGTACTAAGTTTGTGTTTGGAAACCCATACATTGATTTCAATTCCCACAATTGCGTTAAAAAAAAAGCCATTTCATCAAGCAAACATTTCCCATTGCACTTTCAATCTCCATTGCGTTACGCGCACAACAGAAAATATAATCAGCACACTGCCCATCACGAAATCTCAGCAGGATTTCTGCTGCTGCACAATTATACAATTATGCGCCTACGGAAAAATAAAGGCTACTCCATTGCACAACTGTAGCGAGTGAACCGCCGCCATACGCGGGCGGTGATCAAGCGAGAAATTGCAATCCTTTTAATTAAAATACCAGTAAATTGTATGACCGTTAAGCGACATGAATGAAATACGAAAAAAAGGGAAAAATCAGATAAAAAAGAAATCGCCCTTTGGAGAAGAGGTCAACCAGCGTTCCGGCGGGAGCTACAGCTTTTATGGCTGAATTGTATGAAATGAGACAGACAATAAAAAATATACTAGACTAAAACGACTAGGCGAGCGACAGTAGATTTGTACAATAAATACGCTGTGTATTGGCTGGCGGCGGTAGCGAGCATGGAACAAGCGAAGACAACTAGTAAAAGAGCTATGAACAAAGAGGGATATTTAAACAGACAGACAGTTCCGCAAATGGGGTAAAATGTTGGGCAAAAAAATGCGATTGGAAAAAGCATTCATTCATCCATGACCAGCTGACTTGTATGCACCTTTTGTTGCAATAAAATGGAAAAAATAGTTTCAACCATTATAGCTCAGAGCTGTTAAAAACAGTGCGCCGGCAGCATAGAGCACAAAACGCGTGCGCGGAAACATTACAACTTCCTTTGATGCACGTTTGTTTAGCCGGCACTACTTGTTGTCACTGTTTGTCTGCCATTTTTAGTCCGCATGCCGCATGCGTTTGTCAAACGGTAAAACTTAGCGCACTCCGCTGCAATTTCAAACGGTTTTTATCCGCTTTTTTTACTGGCTTTAATATTTTCAATTTTTTCCCTTCTTGTTGAATACATAAATTTTTCATTTGGCTCTTTGCCATCTTCGTCCATGCAACTTTTTGTAAAGTCCTACCAAGAAGAGTCCAATGAACCACATTGGTAATATGAAAGCTCATTTTCTTCATGCCTAACTTTTCATTTTGATGTACTACCAAACCTTCACTACATAGCAAAGAATTGTTCTAAGCGGTAGGGGGTAGATTCAAACAATGATCTTGAGCTTCAAAACCTAGCCATGCGGTGCAGAAGTACACCGCTCTGAACTTTGTGTAAAATTGGCAACTATATTTTTTCCCGGACTTAAAATAAGACTGAAGCTAAGTACTTACTATTAAAGGCACACCTAAGTACTTTCTGTATAACTGCTTGGCATTTTGCAGATCGCGACTAAGTTGCCTTGGCTCTGCTGTTTTCCTCTCATAGTAGGATATCTCGAAAAGGTGGGTCAGAAATTTACTAAAGCTTGAGGAACAGGGTATATTGAATATTCATAGAAACAATCGAAATCTGTTCTGGTCTACATGGGTGAGTGGAATATCGACCTACATACATATATGGGCAGCCGGTTAGAAAACTCGCTTTCTCAGGAAATTCCTAAAGAACGCCCTGCTTCAGAATTTGGTTGAAGAACGTGCTATTTATCTCAGCAAATGGTTCTAAAAGGCCCTATCTCCTATGCCGATATACTGAATTTACCTTGAGATAGGGTGTTTTGAACCGGCTGTCGAGATAGGCCGTTGATATGAGAGATCGATATCGGTCAGCAAAGAACTGTCTTCTCATATAAAGCCGTCACTAAAATATTAGCGTTACAAGAGGTCGAGTTCACACAATAAAATCTTTCAACGTCTCAGAATATACAGTCATTTGGCTCATGTAGAAAACCACAGCAAATGTTCGAGTAGTTCGGAAACCCAGAGAAGGCATGATCCTCGAAGTCATGTATTTGTACCACATTAATATTTGTAAACGATTGGCACATACCCCGTTTGATCAAAGAACATATTAAATAACCCAAGTAAGTGTATGATGTTGCGTTTACGTCGAATCTTTTTTAAATTCTATACTACCACAATAAAATTTTTCGAGGTGATTTTGTAAGGTCTTTATCGAAACTAACTAGGTCAAACTGCTAAAAATATTTAGTTTTTCTCTAAGCACTTCTTCGTTGTGTTCTAAATTCATAAGGTATGCTGCCAGAAAAGATTTAATATCTGGAGCCTGCCGAATATGAAATTGTGCAAAGGCCTTGCTGATTGTTGTACCCATTAGACACTTTATTTCATTGGCGAGGTCATCAACCACGTCAAGCGTTTTGCCTGTCGAAAAGCAAGTTTAAAAATTTCGTTAATTAATTTGATTGGAAATGTGTGTATACCTGTCGGTATCCAATCATAATCCTTAAAACAACAACAAACATCCATGTCTTGCAAATTGCATAGCTGAAAAAAGGATTCCAAGTCTGTTTCACATTTTTTTATAAACGCAACTTCTTTAACGAATAATTTATGCATTTCACAAATATCTTTTTCGCAATTTTGTATGACAGTTGGATCATCAGATTTGATGGCATATCGTTTTAAGTAATCAACAGTCTTCTCATGAAATTGCTTGAATTTGCATTTTTCGGAATTTAATGCCAAAATGCATTGGCGCGCAGCATTAATAATTTCTTCACGATTTTTCTTGAGCGCTTCGCTTTTCTTTGAAAAGCATTGGTTTAGATCATGAATTGTGGTAATTTTTCGAGTAAAGTTGACAATCTCTTCAGATCCTTTGCACTCTGCCTTATTTCGTTTCGTAGGACCAAAATGCAGTTTATTCATTTCGTTCTTATATTCATACTGTAACTCGCGTAACTCGATATTGATGCGCCGCAAATCATTGTCGTGACAAACAAGCGCATTCAGGATTTCGTGGATGCAGTTTCTATGTGCATTGGGTAATTCATCTTTGCACGCAGTTAGCATTTTGAATATTTTATAAATAAATATGTACAAAACCAAAATAAATGAAATAAAAATTTTTACCTACTGCGTTATTTTGAAGGAAGCGTTTCGGCAAAAAATTATACCCTTAACTTAACTTACTTAAGTAATCGTCGATGATTATTAAACATGTCAACTGTTCTTGCTTCGGCAGAACATATCGCACATCGTTTTCAAAAGAGTCACAACTCAAAATTTGGCATTTTTGAGATTATATGCTAAAAACGTACGCAGAGCTTTTATTTACCTTTTAGCAAAAGCTGGAGCAAATTTCGTATCATTTTGAGTTGTGACTCAGAGCCAGAAGCGAGAATATTTGGTTTTTGTATTTTCCTTTTCAGCTGATTGCCACTTTGCCGCCTACTCAAAAATAGGTAGCATACAAAGCCAGTCAATAGCTAGCCGAGCTATAAGAGAGTGATTCCAGCGAGAAGAGAAGCGAAGAGAGTCGTCTATTAAAAATGAGTTTTAAACGAGTTTTGGACAAGGCGATTCACTCTCGAAGAATACCTCTTCCCAATAGTTAGTACTTTAGATTCGATAGGCAATTGAAGAGCCATCGCTCGATGAACAAAAATGTTGCACGCATGGATGAAGGGCGCTAATGAAAAGATCCTTGGATTAGGTACCCATGGATTTAAAAGGAAAGCCGAAAACAATGAAAAGATCAGTGCAAAGGACTTATCCGCACCTGCGAGGAACAGTAGTAATCGCAAATTTCCAAAGTTGAAAAGCAATTGACGAATTTTTTTGGTCTCGGCCCAATACCGACAATAGGTTGTAGTGCCAAATGAGAAGAGGAAGGAAAGGGTTTTTTTTGGAGTCTCAAATGACCAGACATTAGACCTCTTCGAAATTCACAAGGCTGAGAAAAAATCTCTCTCATTAATCATTCACGGTGAAAAGCTATTTTGAGAGAAAGCACTTGTAAATCATTTAGTCCGCGTCGCTCCAAAAATCGCAATAGACGAGCGTGCCATTCGAGAGACACTGGTTCGAATCCTTGGGGAACAGGACTTGTATTATTTTATTCTATTTTAATTCCGGGCTCGAAACCTCGGGCAGCGATTTTATAATAATTTTTTTTTTTTAACCAACTTCCAAAAAAGGAGGAGGTTATCAGTTCGTCGGAATATTTTATTTTATTTTTTGCCCGCATAACTTTGGGCCACGTCAACCCATTTCTTTTTGCAACGGAAAGTTAGTGTCTCAGAGGTGGTCCCGTACTAATTTGGTTTAGATCCGATCATTGAATCATGAAATTTGTATATACATATATATATGTATATATTTTCAAGTCGGGTTTTTTTTGCTAAAAATTACTTGTCTTGTTTAAATTGAATTTTCTTTTATCATAGTTAATTTTCTTAAAAAGAAAAATATGCATTGTTTAATTTGTCTATTTTTTAAGATTTAATTGTTTTAAAAACAATATATTTTTTTTTAATTTCGAAAAATTTTTAGAAATTTTTTTTTGTTTCATTAAATTTTATTTTTGGTTTCAGATTATATTGGAAAAAGTAGTTTTATTCAATTATTTTTGAGTTGTTAGAGTTTTTTAAATAAAAATATATATCTTTTTATTTCATTTAATTTGTAAGTAGGTACTGTTTTCTTCTTTTTTCATTTAATTTTTTTCTTTTTCAAATTTAATATTCTTAAAATTGTTGATGTTATCGTTTTAAAACGAAAAAATAAGTTTTTTTTTTAATTTCATTTTGCTTAGTTTTATTTTTTATCCTACTTTTTTATTTTAATTTTATTTATTTGTAATGGTTATTGTCTTAATAATGAAAGTATATGTTTTTTTTAAATTTAATTTGATTTTAAAAACTAATTGCTTAAAGGCGAACAGTATAACGTGAGCAGATCTTTCAATTAGTCTTTCGAAAGATAGAAAAACGTTTTCAAAGTGTTTGCCAGAATTGACAATTGTCTTACGAAAGACTTTTGTAAGAAAGACAGTTGCGAGAATTGTCCTGTAAAATTGTTAGGAATTCCATTCGCTAATTGAATTTTATTGCATACGTTTGGGTGCACTATTTGTTCATCCCAAAGCCAAGCTAAGGTAGTTGCGGACCGAATACGTAACTTGCCGCAACAAGAAGTTATGAACTTATGAATATCATATGGGAAAAATGTCCAACTAAATTAAAGCAAGTGAAACACATTGTCAAATGATATCTAGATCAGAATAGGTTTTCAGTCGTGGATATAGGCTGCTAAATTGGCTATGAGTCAGCTTTGAGACCATAGGATCATCGGTAACGCCAAAATAGATTTAAGGGGGAAAAGATAAGTTGTCAAAATACGCTGAAAAATGTTGTGGCCAAAATATGGCATTTCACTATGCCAGCCTTCAGTTGTGAAACTTTGTTGATCAGCTGTGAAAGCTAGCCACTGAGTTATATATTTGGATATCGGCGCGGTGTTTTTCCTTTTTAATCAAAAATAACATAAGTTAAGCCACTAATGGTGAAGTGAAATTGCTTCCTTGGCTACATATAAATCAACAGAAAATGTAAGGAAGATTTTGCCAACTACAAATAAATAATGAATGCAAGAATACACGTACATACATTTTTTTTTTGCAATCAGGCGCTTGTCAAATTCCGTTAGCTTGTTAACATTATTGCCTGCAGCCGCCGCAGTATTTACAATAAGGAAGCCACGTACATATTCGTCCATTTGTATGAATTTGATTAGGTTTGCTTATTCAACAACCAAACAAAGAAATGCGTATTATTACTTATTTGCACAACAGCTATGTACTTCCTTCCATGCCATATGATTCTTCTTAATGTAATTGAATAGTTCCTCGAGCTTTATTTATTTTTACCTTTGTTACCTACACACTTCTAAGTAAAGCAGCTTCTCGCTCATTCATGTTGTCACTTTAATTCCTTTCAGTCCCTTATTATTATTATTACTTGCCAGCTTATCTTTAGTAAGGAAGTAGTTGTTGTTATTGTTTGCATGTACATATTACCAATGTAAGTATACAATGTCTTTCTTATTTGATAAGTTTTTTTGTTTATCTTGGCGCTGTAATGTTATTGCTACCTGTTAGTTTACGCCCACGGAATACCTGGCCGTCTTGCTTGTCCACACCCTCCTTCTACCCGTATACCTATGCACTTATTGCTACTCGTTATAACATCACAGTAAACATGTTTTTGCTTTTGCATCTGCCCACCGCTGCACCACTTCAATCATGGCTGTTGCGAAAACGTATCACAGTTTTCCAGTTTTCTCATTTATTACCTACTTTACTTCGTTCGGTTTTTTGTTTTTTTTTTTGTTTTACTTTTTACTCCCCCGCTTGCCGTTACCTGTCACAGATTACACATCGAATGTCAACATAAGGATGCCACAAAAAAAAAAAAACTAAGAGCAAAAGCAATGTCTTAAAGGATATTTCAAATATATGTATGTAGCACGTAGTAGTTGGTACTCAAGTGAATTGAAATTGACGTTGGTTAGTTACTGACAACGAGCCGCAGAAAAGGAGGAAGTGCAATTCTTTACGGGCAACAAAAACAAGCAGCGTGTGTGTTTAGTAAACAAAAACCTATAGAAAATGAAAGCGAGATATGTTTGTGATAAGCTCTGTATTTGACGTACTTATGTATGTAGCACGAAATAATTTTGTAAAGCTAAGATTTGCTAGCGGAAAAGTTTTCATGTAATATTGCTTGAAATGTAATTTTCAATTAAATAAATGAATTCAGTAAAAGCAAATCGCTACCAAGATAGAGGTGAAAAGCTGCCCAAGTCCATGGTACAATAAAAGCAGGTAGAAGCCAATTTGACGTCAAACCAACAAAAGTCAAAGTTTTCGGGAGAGTAAAAATAAAAATGAGTGTGTGTAAGGAAAAATAAAAAATTACATTTCACTGGTTGACGTGGCACCCGGCATCACGGACGACTGCTGTCGGGCCGGTATCCCTTTATATACCCTGCATAGACACATCAGGACGGACATCCAATTGTCCACGCTAATGTGGGCGTCTGGATGCGCCTTGTCCAACACCGCCAGCGTGAGGTGCTCTTTGGTGGCCACGCTGAACGGCTTCGCAGTGGATACGGCCATCGACGGACGTTTAGAACCACTCGAGGTGTAATTTTGAGATCGTTGTCTCTTAGAGGCCATGCCCTTCATTGGATTTGCTCAAATTGTGCGTCCTTCTCGCCTTTCGCGGATGATCGCTTGTCGTTGACGGCAAAGACTGCCATTGCCCATTTGAGGGACGATTTTTGATCGTACGTCATTTGGTCATGCGGGATGGCCCCCCCCCATTATTTTGATGACCTTAGGGGCTGCCCTTAGGTCGCACTGGGCTCCGACGGAGGCCAGAATTATCTTTTTGCTGATTTGAAGCAGCCGGAGCGCAGATCGAGATCAATAATGGCGTCTTTCTTCGCCATAAACTATGTTACTCTTTTTTATTCGCCGAAGTTTTTCTTAAGCGTCTTTTTCGAAAATTTTTTTACGTGTCTTTTTTCGCCATCAAAACACTAGCGCGCCTTTATTCGTGTCTTGTTACGATATATATAAATGTTCACAATTCTCAAAGGACTAAAGAAAAATTATGAAAGCCGGTTTGGAGAAACCAGGACTTCTTGCATTCTTTGAATCCCACTGGAGTCATTTTCCGCAGAAAAAATCATTAAAACTATTGAATGGGGAAAATTACAACAGACGGACGGATATACATAATTATGCGATATCCTGCTTATTATATGTATGTATATTTGAATTTATAACCATGTACAGTAATATTTGAACCAACTTCCTACAAACTGTACGCACCGAAAGAGTCAGACAGGCGTTCAGTGTACCACAGTTATAAATATATGGCCCACTGATCCCTCATGCGATGCTTTAATCTCATTAAAACTCATTTTTCGAATTAATTAAAAAAAATTACATTGCTTAAAATATGACAGAGATAAAAAAATCTCAATGGAAATTCATAATT